AGGTCCCTTCCAACCCCTGATCTTCTATGATTTATATGATAATATCACCTCTGGAGCCTGTTGAAAAAACTTGGCGTCACATTAGCTCTCTGCCAGCCATCCGGTGCCGAAGCGGATTTCAACGACAGGTTACAGACTGACAGTGCCCACGAAAGCTTATGCTCTAATAAATGTGTTAGTCTCTAAGGTGCCACAAGTACTCCTGTTCTTTCTAAGGAAGGAGATTCCACCACCTCCCTAGGGAACCCATTCCAGTGCTTCACCACCCTCCTAGTGAAATAGTGTGACGAAGTGGGGGATTTTCTTGTGTTTTCCTTGTTTTTCCAATGGTTTGCATGCATAGGGGGTGAGACTCAGTTTCCCTGGGGGTTACTAGTTTAACGAGGGGAGGGGAGAGGGAGTTTGTAGTTACAGAGGACCGGAGAGGGAACTTGGGACCCCAGCCGATGGCCTGGAGGATGGACACCCCAGCGACTGGTGACCTGACGACCCGGAGACCCAGCTCAGGAGTCGCATCTGGTTCTGGCCAGTGGGAGGACTGGCTGTGAAGAGAGGCCCCCGGGGACCTGACCAGCCAGAGAGGGCCAGAGGAGGGCTGAGAGGAGAGGAGGTCCAGGTGACCCGGTTTCCCTGGAGAGAAGACAATGGACAGAGGCGGGGCTTGGGGCCAGGGATCTCAGATGCCCAGCTGGGAAGCAGGGGGGCTCTGGGCTGGAGAGGGGGAGCAGGCAGAGCCCACCTGGATGCCGAGAGACTGGGATGTGCTGGGCTGAGGGAGGCCAGGCCTGAGGCCCGGAGAGTTTCCTGTGCTGTGTTCAGATGCTCAATAACCCTCCTGTGTGACACTGGCTGAGAGTCACTCCGGGCTAGAGAACAGGGTTGCATCCACCCCTTCGGGGGAGGGAGGTCCTGGGGGTCCAGAGCGAGTGGACTCCCTGAGGGGGCCCACGGCAGAGACAGACGTGCTAAGGCTCAGAGAGGTGCGGCTCCAGGAGGTGGAGGGAGCCTGACCCCGAGAGAGAGTGGACCCCCGAGAAGGGCTGTCGCATTGAAAGGGGCACCCCCCACGGACTGCACAGGGCCAGGAGTGGGCACGATCTGGGAGTCCGTGACAAATAGTTTTTCCTAATGTCCAGCCTAGACCTCCCCCCTGCAACTTGAGACCATTGCTCCTTGTTCTGTCATCTGCCACCACTGAGAACAGCCGAGCTCCATCCTCTTTGGAACCCTCCTTCAGGTAGTTGAAAGCAGCTATCAAATCCCTGCTCACTCTTCTCTTCTGCAGACTAAACAATCCCAGTTCCCTCAGCCTCTCCTCGTAGGTCATGGGCCCCAGCCTCCTAATTATTTTTGTTGCCCTCCGCTGGACTCTCCAATTTGTCCACATCCTTTCTGTAGTGGGGGGCCCAAAACTGGACGCAGTTCTCCAGATGTGGCCTCACCAGTGCCGAATAGAGGGGAATAATCACGTCCCTCGATCTGCTGGCGATGCCCCTACTGATGCAAAAGCTATTTAAGGCAGGGGAGTAACATCATCATGGTTCTTCTTCACTGACTCCCAGCCCAAAGGAGATGCTTGGAAACACCCAAGAAACAAAGATTGAACTGGAGAAGGGGTTGCTCTGTTTGCTATCCCTTAGAATCACTTCACATCACGTCACTCAAACTTGTTTTGGTTTTGTCTAAAACCGATCTGTGGGAGTCATAACAAGGGGTGGGAAGCTTGTATATTTCCTGTCCACATTGAGAGAGGGGGTGAATTTCATGAGCTTACGCTGTACGCTTCCCTGTGCAGCAGGAGAGGTACGACTTTGGGCTGACCCTCCAGAGTGGGGGGGTGCACTCGGGGATCTAGGCATTTCCTTAGCTGAAGCTTTCCCATGCAGGGGCTGGCCAGAAAGCCTGTTTGCATGTTACCACCGCTGGGTGTGTCCCTATCTGGGGAAAGTGAGAGACCGGGAGTGTCTGTAGCTTGTCACAGCAGTACAGCATGAAGGGAGCCCCGGTAGCAGGGTCAGGCAGGTACCCAATGCGCCCTCCATGTTAAAGGTCACAGCCCTATACGGACCTTATGTTTTACCTCTTCACCATCTCTCTAGGTGAAAAGTCCCAAACATATGTAGGATAACTTCACCTTAGCTCAGCATACAGGGTGTGGCCTGCGGGTCCCTTGTGTTACAGCCAAAATATACTCTAATATAAACCTATAATAATCAAACCCATAAGAAACAATATATAGGCAAGCAAGTTGACTAGCCTCGGCTGCATCCCATGTACCTGTTATATACGTCAGTTTGTTGCCAGGACACTTGTGTAGTTGACACATGTACCTGTGGTCAGAACTTCCCCTTAAACCCTATTTCCAGCTCCCCGAATATTGGGGGGGGGGGTTTTCCATTGGGCCATTTCTCAGTGCAAAGTGCCTAGGCCCCAAGCCTTGTGCTAACATGCAGAAGCGAATGTCTTCCGGGAGAGAGGCCTGGAGGTTCCTTGCCTTTGTGCTGACTATAATGCAAAGCACTGGCTTGCTAAACCCAGGGTTGTGAGTTCAATCCTTGAGGGGCCATTTAGTGATCTGGGGAAAAAATCAGTCTGGGCATTGGTCCTGCTTTGAGCAGGGGGTTGGACTAGATACCTCCTGAGGTCCCTTCCAACCCTGATCTTCTATGATTTATATGATAATATCACCTCTGGAGCCTGTTGAAAAAACTTGGCGTCACATTAGCTCTCTGCCAGCCATCCGGTGCCGAAGCGGATTTCAACGACAGGTTACAGACTGACAGTTCGTAGTTCTGCAATTTCACATTTGAGTTCTTGCAGACGTTTGGGGTGAATCCCATCTGGTCCTGGTGACTTACTGCTGTTTAATTCATCAATTTGGTCCAAAAACCTCCTCTAATGACACCTCAATCTGGGACAGTTCCTCAGATCTGTCACCTGAACAGAAGGGTTTGGGAATCTCCCTCCTGTCCTCGGCTGGGAAGAATTCATTTAGTTTCTCCGCAATGGCTTTATCATCCTTGAGCGGTCCGTCAGCATCTCCATTGGTCAAGGCCCCACTGGTTGCTTAGCCGGCTTCCTGCTTCTCATGTACTTAACACACTTTTTTGCTGTTACTTTCTGAGGCTTTGGCTAGCTGCTCTTCAAATTCCTTTTTGGCCTTCCTCATTGTATTTTTATCCAGAGTTTATGCTCCTTTCTCTTTTCCTCACTAGGATTTAACATCCACTCTTTAAAGGATGCCCTTTTGCCTCTCACATCTTCTCTTACTTGATCGTTTAACCATGGTGGCACTTTTTCGATCCCTCTTGCTGTTTTTTTTTAATTTGGGGGTATGCATTTAAATGGTGTCTTTAAAAAGTTTCCATGCTGTTTCCAGGTATCCCTGTATAACCAGCCGCCCCACCCCAGAGGTGGCCGCATCTCAGCGCCGGGCGAGGGGTCCCTGTATAACCAGCCGCCCCACCCCAGAGGTGGTTGCATCTCAGCGCCGGGCGAGGGGTCCCTGTATAACCAGCCGCCCCACCCCAGAGGTGGCTGCATCTCAGCACTGGTGAGGGGTCCCTGGATAACCAACTGCCCCCAAAGAGCCTGGAAAAGACTGGATTACAAAAGGTACGTGCAATGTCCCAGACAATGGACAGGGACCAGGATCACAGGGGTCTGGGATCTGGTGGGTTAGAGCAGGGGGTGGCTGGGACCCAGGACTCCTAGGTTCCATCATCACCAGGTCTGCCCTGTACTTGTATTAATCCCTTTTCTTTCTTCTCCCCCCCGCCCCCAACTCTGCAAACCCACCACATGCTCTTTTGCCCAATCCTTGGAGAAACCTCCCTTGTTAATCTTCCATCTCCTCAGGCGACATTAATATTTACTCTCCCTGTTCCCTCCCACCCCATCGTGAAGAGACTTGTTCATTTCAATCAGTGGAAAATCAGATGAACTTTCACACCGCTTTGCTTCCACGAGGCACGTTCAACCTTTGGTCCACCTACCGGGGAGGGGGCAGGGAGCGCCACTCTGGCCGCTTCCAACCTAGTCATGTCCGCTTGGGCCCCTTTCTCTCCCGCGCTGGTTAGGGGACCATGAACTCGGACGCCTGCCAGAGGAATTGGCTGGTTTTAATTCCCCCCAAACGCAGCTCTGTTCCAGAAAAGGTGGCACTCAAAACCGCCGCTTTTGTCCCCCCTCGAAACTGTCATTTCTCTAAACAAACCCCTCCCGCCTTTTAAATCACCAAATCCTACCTTCTGGAGGGTAAACGATGCCCGATGAGAGCCCCCCCCCTTTCCCCAGCCACACCTGTCTAATTACACATCTAGCAGCACAAAATCCATAAATCCGGGACCGGTAACTGCATTTCTGGGCTCTGGGACATCACTAATTCCCCGACGTGGGGTACAAAGCTGGGTGTCTATTTCCTGCCAGCTATTCCTAGCAGCAAGTGGGGAAACTGAGGCAGGGGCCTGCTGCCCAAGAGATTACGGGAGGGGGCCTTTTACTTCCTGTTTGCCCTCGATAGGTCAGTGCCGTATTTCCCCAAATGAACGCAGCGGCCCGATCCCCCTCCCCCTTTATAAAATGTTCTTTGCCTTAGACCCAGACTCTGATCCAACGTCCTCCCCGACTTATGGACCTCCAGAACAAGCCCTAGGCTTCCAGCAGGCTGCTGGGAGGTTGGAGCTGGAGCCCAGAGCCCATGGGAGGCACCGGAGGAGAATCCAGGAGGGCAAGGGGGGTAGTGAAGTGGCTTATTTCTGTGAAGGAGCACCCTTTTAGATAGAGACCCCTCACCAGGCTGGAATTTACCACATTAACCCTTCCAGAACCTGGTGATGGTCCCAGCACTCCCTTGCAGTCACACCGGCTCCCTGAGATCTTGGCTTCTGGCCGGCTAGTCTCTGTCCTGGGAGGAATGTTCCCCAGAGGCTGGTGTCAATGGAGCCGGCTCTGCCCCTGCCTCCACCTGGGTGCCCCGGCAGGCAGGAGAGGAGGTGCCCAGACAGGAGGAGAAGTTGGGCAGAGTGACCAAAACCAGGCTCCCAGCTAAGAGGAAAGCCCCAGCTGCCAAGAAAGAGGCCATGTAGTCCCCAGTCATGTCCCGCAGCCAACCTGGAACAGAGAAAGGACAGAATCATTTAGCGCAACAGCAGGAAAACCCAGGCTGAGCTAGAACAATAGCCAGAGAACATAGGGCAACCTAGAACACAAAGGCAATCGAGAATGGCACAAGAGCCAAGTGTGATCTAAAACAACATCCAGAGAGCACAGGGCAACTTAGAACATGAAGGTGACCTAGAATGTCATATGAACCCAAGGTGACCTAGAACAATATCCAGAGAACGTAGGGCAAACTAGAACATGGAGGTGACCTACAACACCATAAGAACCCAGGGTGACTTAGATCAAAACCTAGGGTGACCTAGAACCAGGGTGACCCAGAATGAGGTCACAAGAACCTTGTGGGGTCTAGCTGGTTGGAGCAGGGGGAACTGGGCGTCAGGACTGCTGGGTTCTATCCCCACCTCTGGGCCTGTCTCCACGGGCTACCAAATGGGGATGGAGGGCAGTTAATCCCAAGCAAGATGATGTTCACGTGTCAACCACTGGTCCCAAGACCAGGGTGGGGGCCAGGAGTCTTGGTTCCAAGAAGGACCAAGTCTATGACTTAAGGTTACGGGGAAAAAGGCAGGGTTGGGGATTGTTTTACTGGGGGGGAGGAGCTCGTTTCCAATTAATTGAACGGGAGGAGAAGGAAGTCAGCGGCAATCTACCAGAGAACGGCGCTCCCAGAAGCCCGCCGATGCTCTCCATCATCTGCAGCAGCCCCATCGAGCCAAAAATCCACCCGATGCCCACAATTTCCGGCAGGATGGAAAAGACCACGGGGGTGAGCGCCCCGGAGAAGAACCCATAACAGACGCCGATGGCCATCAACAACGGGTAGCTGCGCCCCAGAGGCACCAGCGCCAAGGAGATGCCAGTCAGGGAGGTCCAGGCCACCAAGATGTGGCTGAGGCGGAAAGCCCGGCAGTCGGCCAGCCAACCCGAGAGGAGGCGGCCACACAGGTCGGCCATGGCTGCCACGGACATGAGGAAGGCAGCCTGGTACTCATCGAAGCCCAGCTCCCGGGCTCGGGCCACCAAGTGGACGTAGGGAATGAAGTAGCCGGTGTTGATCAAGGTCACAGCTAGCACAAATCTCATGAAGGGCCAGTGGGAGAGCAAAGGCAGGCCAAAGAGGGTGGAAAGCTTCCCCAGGCAGCTCCCGCCGGGGTCCCCAGGGCTGGCCAGGTCCTCCTTGAGGGTCAGGGGGCGGATGAGGGCTCCGCACACCACCAGGTTGAAGGACATGCCGGCCACCACCAGGAGGGCCCCCCGCCAGGCGTAGGTGTCCACCAGGAACTGGAAGAGTGGGGAGAAGGCGAAGGAGGACAGGCCCACGCCCGTGAAGGCCAAGCCTGTGGCGAACGTCCGGCGCTTCTTGAAGTAACGAGCCACCGAGGCCACGGAGGGTGTGAAAACCAAGGCCCACCCGAAGCCTGCAAAAAAAGGGGGCATAAAATACACCCGTCAGGACCCCCCAACCACATCCAAGTTGTTATGGCAACAGGCCGGGATGTGGCCACAAATGAGACTGTTTTGGGCCCATCCACTTTTTCCTCGTTTTTCCAAAACGGCTGCCGTATGGCTGCAGCCATTTTGAATGAGGCCCGGCTCCTTCCTCCCCCAGCCTCAGTGATTATTACCCCCGCAAACTGCAGGGTTCCCCCCCTATACGGATGGCCATTTTGAATGAGGCATAGCTCCTTACGCCCCTAACTCCCTCCATTTTAAGTTTTGCCCGGCTCCTTCTCCCTACCCCCACCCATCAACCAGTGGCCATTTTGATGGGCCTCTCTTTCCTTTGATGCCCTTCACCTATGGTTACCATATCTAATAAATAAAAAAAGAGGACCCTCCACGGGCCCTGGCCCCACCCCTAGCCCCGCCCCAACTCCGCCCCTCCCCGCCCTAACTCCGCCCCCTCCTCCCTCCCACTCCCAGCCACTGGGAAAGGGCTGCCCCAGCGC